GGCACAAGATGAACCATGTTTTATTAATGTACCTGACCTGAGTCAGCTCGCCAAATTCCCACTAGAACCTGCAGAAATGGCACTACTGCTAACTCTGCTTTTTTTACTTTACCGAGAGGCAGAGAGACAGACAGACAGACAGCTCCTGTCCTCTGGTTTACTCCCCAAATGCCTGTCGTGGCCAAGGCTGGGCAGGGCCAACAGCGGGCACCTGGAAAACAACACGTCCCACACGCGAGTGGCCAGAACCCAACCATCTGAGGGCCACTGCTGCCCCTCGGCGTGGACACTAGCAGGAAGCTGGAGGCAGCAGCCAGAGCCAGGGCTCAAGCCCAGGCTTCCCCCTGTGGGCACAGGCATCCTAACATGGGCTAAACACCCAGCGCAACCCCACTTCTTAGAGAGAGAGTCAAAGCTCAGAAGTCAAGAAACTCGCCCAAGGTCATGGCCAGAAAACAGCTGGGCTGTGAAATCAAGCCCAGGCGCACCTCCAAAACTCGCGCTCTCACCTACCAAGGTTAAGTAGCGGGAACTACACTGGGAGTCCTACTTAACACTCCTAACGTTACAACACAGATAGAAAATTAGGTCACTGTCATCACCAGAATGATGTGACAGCCGCCAGCAGCAAGACTACAGCAACGACGAGCGGGACGGGGGCCAACTCGAAAACTGTTTGGATGCTGCAGCCTTCCGGCCGGGATTGCACAATTCACAGGCACACAGGAGCGAGCCTGCCTTCTATTAAAATCCAGCGCCGGCCCACAGCTCGTCTCACGGTCAACAACTGTGCCGGAAGTCTTTCGAGGAAAGGCTGCCCACAGGAGGGCAGCTCAGCTCAACACCAACACCAAGCAGGGTCTCGGGGGACACAGCCCGGGTCCCCGGGCAAGGAGCGAGTCTGTGCTGGATGAGCCAAGCCTCTGCACCTGCAGAAACCCGGGCAGACGCCCCGGGTGGTCCTGGTGAGAGGCAGGGCGGATACCTTACCACCTACCTACGGCACGGCCTGGGGCGCCCCAGGGACCCACGCCTGGGAGGACTCTGCTCAGCCAAAGCCAGTCCCAGCCTCCAGGGCCGGCCCTGCCATGTGGGATGTCCAGGATGGCAACCCAGGCTGGCTTCCTCGCTGCCCCAAGAACCTCGCGGAAAGGGTCGGGAACATTCTAGAAGGCACCCCCGGCGCGGGGGTCTCCCCCAAAGCAGCACGCACATGCAGCTGAAGTCAGGTGTAGGTCAAAGGTGGCAACGATGGGAAGTAAAGAGAAGCCAGCTCTCCAGTGGACGCGTGTCAGCACACGGGCTCTGGTGCCACAAGCCGGCCGTGACTCACTCACACGCTTCTCCGCAGTTAGGCCCCGTGCTTCCCAGGAATCGGACGGAAACACCTGGGAAGCAACTCCTGTCACGGGGCCAGCGTTGTGGCATACTGGGTAAAGGTGCCGCCTGCGACGCCTGCAACCCAGATGGACGCCGGTTCAAGTCCCGCTGCTCCACTTCCCATCCAGCTCCCCACCAAATGGCCTGGGAAAAGCAGTAGAAGATGGCCCAAGTGCTTGGGCCCCTGCACCCCCGTAGGAGACCTGGATGAAGCTCCTGGTTTCGGGCTGGCCCAGCCCTGGGCTGCTGTGGCACCTGGGGAGTGAAATAGCTGTAGGAAGATCTCGGTCTGTCTGTCTCTCTCTCTCTCTCCCTCCCTCCCTCTCTCTCTCTCTTTCCCTCTGTGTAACTCTGCCTTTCAAATAAGCCCTCCGGGTCTGTCTGTGAGGGTTCACGGGTGAGGAAGGTGAAGGAACGTGTGCACTTTCTGTGGCTGCAGCACCAGCTGAGCACGCGCCACCCCTGAGAGGGTCTCGGGAGGGTCTCGGGCCCGCTGCTGGAGGGGCAGGGCGTTCTGAGCCAGGCACCCGCGCCCTCGCGACACGGCGGCTGGCAGGACGCGGTGGGGGCGCCTTGGAGAGTCCCAAGCAGCGAACAGGTGGGAAAACCTGTGAGGGAGGCGGGGAGAGGCCAAAGGGACTGAACCCCTTCTCCTGAGAACTAATCCAAAGAAAGCACCCCTCTTAAAGGCCCACCTTTAAGACATTTGGAAACCAAATCTCAAGGACAAGCCAGCCCCAAACCCCAGCAAGCCACTCCCAGGGCGAAAGGCTGGATCTGGATTGTGACCGGGCACTGAACATTTGCATTATTTAAATCGGCCACACAGTGAATTTCCCGAAACCCACGCGGAATCGGGCCCCTCCCCAGGTAACTCAAATCGAGGCCTCTACGCGTCTCCCCAGCTCAGCAGGAGAGGCGTAAGCAGGTAAATAGCGTTTGAGGGAAAAAACAAAACCAGGATTAGGGAAAGCTGCCGGGGATCACCCAGGGGAGTGCCAGGCCAGCGGCCGACCACGCCCTTTTTTATTTTTTTATTTTTAATTTGACAGGTAGTTAGACTGTGAGAGAGAGGGACAAAGGTCTTCCTTCAGTTGGTTCACTCCCCTAATGGCCGCCACAGCCGGCGCTGCGCTGATCCGATGGCAGGAGCCAGGTGCTTCTCCTGGTCTCCCATGGGGTGCAGGGCCCAAGCACTCGGGCCATCCTCCACTGCACTCCCGGGCCACAGCAGAGAGCTGGACTGGAAGAGGGGCAACAGGGACAGAATCCGGCGCCCCAACAGGGACTAGAACCTGGTGTGCCGGCGCTGCAGGTGGAGGATTAGCCTAGTGAGCCGCGGCGCCGGCCAACCAGGCTCTTCTAGTTCAGGCTCCCCACAAATTCAGGAGCTGGCGCGTTCCTCCGGCCTCCCGGGAGCACAGGAGCTGCCCAAGCCTCTCCTCGTGGCCGGGTGCTGTCCCCACAGGTGTTCCGAACGCCACGGGGACGGCCTCCACCTCTGCGCCCAGGGCAGCACGGAACCAGCCAAAACACAGGTTTCGGTCTGGAGACCGCACAATGGCCTGCGCTGGGACACCGCCGGCTAGAGCCTGTATTTACAGAGGCTCACGGCAGGAGTCACCACCTAACCGCCCCACCCCAGCATCCAGAGGTGCTCAGAACCGCCGGCCCGCAGCCGCACACAGGCACCTAACAGGAGCCCTGCCTCACAGAGCAGGGAGCAGGGAGCAGAACTCAAAAATACTCGGATCCAAGACGCTCCCTGCGACTGCGGGGCGGGCTGGGAGCTGGGCTCGCCGCCGCCGCTGCCCCCGTCACAGGAGAGAATCAGCCCACGCGGCGCTGGGCCGGGAGCAGATTGATCCAAACTCCAAGTTTGCTTTCCATGAAAGGCACCCCTGCTTACGCCGCCTTGCAAAGCCAAGACCTCCTGAGCCTGGGCCCGTCTGCATCCCACACACACCAGGCTACTTTCCCAGCTGACCTCTCACTGGGGCCCTGTAAGACCCGGTGACCCGGAGCGGCAGGTGTCAGGGCCACCACCACACAGAAGCGGACACAGGCTTCGTGGCACACTCAGTCTGAGGCATGCATGGGTGGGCGCGCGTGTGCGGGGAGGGGGCTCCTCCAAAACCGTCTGGCTGCCCGGCAGTCGGCAAAGCAGCCTGGAAAGGGGAGGGAGAATCGAGACCTGGGTTCAAATCCCAGCTCCACCACTTGAACGCAGGCCCTTAAGCAAACACCACGGCCTCCCGCCCACGCTGCTGGCACACAAAGTGTGCTATCGCAGGGACTGGAGTTTTGGCACAGTGGTCAAGCCGCTGCCTGCAATGCGGGCATCCCATACAGGCACTGGCTCAAGTCCCGGCTACTCCATTTCCAAACCAGCTCCCTGATAACGTGCCTGGGAAAGCAGCAGAGGATGGCCCAAGTCCTTGGGCCCCTGCACCTGCGCCAGAGACCCGGATGAAGCTCCTGGCTTCTGACTTTTGCCAGGCCCAGCCTGGGCTGTTGTGGCCATCTGGGGATTGAACCGGCAGATGGAAGACCCGTCTGACTCCCTCTCTGTAACTGTCTTTCAAATAAAAGGAAAACCAGCATGCTGACACTCACCCCCGCGGCAGACTGAAGGTGAGAGGGGTCCTCCGCGCAGGACAGGCTCCTGCCCCTCTCCCCAGCCGAATCCTCCCAGGACGCGGATCTGCTGGCCTCTGGCCTTCCTCTCTGGACGCTGCCCCCGCCCCCACCAAGTCTGAGTGCGACTACGACCTCAGCCCACCTTTCCAACTTGTGGAGCTTGCTGCTTCATCTTCACCTTACGGGACCTCGCGCTGCGGAACAGGGCGTCTGGCAGGGCGCACAGAAACGCATCCGCCGCGTGGCAGGGCCTTCTCCCGGCGCTGCGGGCGCCGACGGGAAACGCTTTGATCCACCGTGCCCACAGGTCAAACCCAAGACACAGTGCGCCACGACTTCCCGGAAGTAGGATCATCGGGCTTCAATGTGCTTTTTAAGATTAACTGACTGGCTGATTTGAAAGAGTGGCCGACAGAGGCAGAGACCTGGCTAGCTGGGTCACCCCCGGACGGCTGCAACAGTCAGCGCTCGGTCCCCGTCCAGGCCTCCGAGGGGGCCAGGAGCTCCGGCACTTGGAGCCATCACCCCCTACCCCCCTGGTGCATCTACAGGAAGCTGGGTCAGAGGCAGGGTAGCCAGGACTCGAGTCAGCACCCCGCTGTGGCCGCACCCACGGCACCACAACACGGACCCTGCTCTAAACACACACACACCACTTAAGAAACGCGGGGCAGGGGAGAGGGTCAGCCCAAGGTCCCTGTTCTCAGCAGAGCTGCACCCATCAGCACCCCCACGGGGAGGCCCCCAGGGGACAGGACCGGCAGAGGGGCCTCCCCGTGAGGGAGGGATGAGGGTGCTCGTCTCACGCCCCCAAGTCCCCGAGCCACCGCACCCCGTGAAGGGAAGGACACCGGGCAGAGACCCCACGGCTTCCTCCGCTCTCGTGTCGCTCGCGTGAAATCCCTAAGTCGAAAACAGACCTGATGGCGTCCCCAAAGGACCCCGAGTGCCCCGCCCATCCTGCCCTTCCTGGACACCTGCTCTGGTCAGGAAACAGCGAGGGAGGCGGGGTTCGGAGCAAGTCGGGGCGGCGCTGTGGCGCAGCGGGCACCCACACTACCGGCATCCCATGCTGGTTCGCGTCCTGGCTGCTCCACTTCCCATCCAGCTCTCTGCTGTGGCCTGGGAAGGCAGTGGAAGATGGCCCAAGTGCTTGGGCCCCTGCACCCGCGTAGGAGACCTGGAGGAAGCTCCTGGCTTCAGATCGGCTCAGCTCCAGCCGTTGCTGCCACTTGGGGAGTGAACCAGCAGATGGAAGACCTCTCTCTCTCTCTCTCTCTCTCTCTCTCTCTCTCCTCCTCTGACATTCAAATAAATAAATAAATCTTAAAAAAATAAAAGAGCAAGGTTGGCTGCACAAGCAACGCAGGCATCATTAGGGACGGGACGGTCCGAGGCCGAGCCCCAGGTGCCTGGGCCGGGTGCCCCAGACCACGCGGTCAGAGCCCGGAACCTCCCCCCCCCCCCCAGCTCAGTGTCTCCAGGAGGAAGAGCGGGAGCCACCTATGCCCAGGGGTGGCACTGTCCTGCCCCGTCCCCTGGACAGGACGTCAGGACCATTTCTTGCGTTATTAAGTTCCAAGGACATTCCTGGACGCAAGACAAGAGAGGCAAAGGTGACCAGGTCTCCTAACCGAGGCCGCCACGTGACCCAAACAGTGCAGGCGGCCACGGCCCAGCGCCCCAGAGGCCCAACAGCCACCTAAGAATATATCTGCACAGGGTCAAGGTTGAAGGTTACAGAAGGCAGCAAATATTTGAAATCACCAGGCAGAACATCTCCCTGTGTTAGGTAACAGGTTGTTAAAGACAAAACAAAACATGCCCCGGTGGGGCGGGGGGACAGGCGCTGGGCGCGCGAGGAGGCCGTGGCCCGGGCCGCAGGGAGACCCCGGCCTCCACCGGGCCGGCCGCGGAGGGGGCGCCTGCGGAGCGCCCCGCCCGCCGCAGCTCGCTCTGCCAGACACTCGGTGCGGCCCAGGTTCCGCGTGAATTACCCGGGGAGCGGTCAGCGGCGGCGCCGTCCGCGGAGGGAGCCCACCGAGGAGGACCCCACGCCGCGCCCTCCGCAGGCCCCGCGCATTTTGGGCACCGCGTCCCGAGGAGAACCGCGCGGGCCCGCGGGCGGCCATCGCGCCGCCGGACGCCGCCCGCCGCCCCACGCCGCAGTCGGCACGGCCGCCCTCAGCTCCCGAAGCCCGCAGACGCCCGGGCCGCGCCGGCCCTCGGCGCCCGCCGCCGCCCCCACCCCGCGCGCGCGCTCGCGAGGGCCCCGCGGCCAACGGCGGCCCCGGCCCCGCCCCCGAGCGGGCGTCACGTGACGGCGGAGGAAAGTAGGGGAAAGGTCGGCGGCGGCCCCGCCCCCGGCCGGCGCGCCCCGGGCGCCGGGATCCTGTTCCGCCGGCCGCGCCCGCGCGACGCCCCTGTCCCCGCGAGGGCCGAGCTGCCCCTGCGGGGGTCCCCGCGGCCACCCGGGCAGGGAGGGGCCAGGCGCCGCGCCCCCCAGCCCCCCTCCCCCACCCGGGAGCGCAGCTCGAGGAGGAGGAGGAGGAGGAAGGCCGGAGCGGTCCTGAGTGGGCACGCGGGCCAGGCAGGCCGCGCCGAGTCCCCGCAGCCCCGCGCCCGGCGGCCTGGGCCGGATGCCGGCCTCTGGCCCTCGGATGTACTGCACGTGCAGCCCCAGACCTGCCGGTCAAGCTGGTTCCAGCAGGTGCTGGCTGGAGTTCAAGTGCAGGGTCAAGGCCACAGGGCGCGAGCCGCGCCCCCAGCAGCTGGCGAGGGGCTGCCGGCCGCGTCTGCGGGGCTCGCGAGGGCTCGGGCGGGCTGGCGCATCTGGAATGCCCGTGGAACGACACGCGCGTCCGGGCAGGTGACACTGACTCCCACGTCCTGGGCAGCTCACGGGGGTCCCGGCTTCCTGCTGCAACCCCGCAGGCGACCTCCGAGGGGAGCCGGCCGCTGCGCCTGACCACACAGGTGCTTGGCATTTTTTAACTTTTATTGGGGGGAAGAGAGGGGAAGATCGGCTTTCATCGTCTTTAAAGAAGCCAGGCACTCGGGGAACGCAGCCGGCCGCGACCGCCGAGGCCCCCACGCGTGACGCCCCCGCCCCGCAGTGCCCGCGGGAGAGCGAGCGAGGGGCGCACCGGCTGCGCCCCGCGCCAAGGGCGTGTCCCGCAGGCTGCAGTGCGGGGCGCGGAGCGGGGCTGGCGGCGGCCTGCCCATCGTGGGGGCGCCCCTGCCGCCGACCCCCGGCGGCCCCGGCCGCGCTCCACTCGCGGGGTGGGCGCAGGACGCGGCGGGAAAGAGGCCGGCAACCCTCCCTGGCCCCGGGCCAGGGGCGTGCGGCCAAGTCCCCGGGGCCGAGCATCCTCGTCGCCCGCGGTCGCCGGACACTCGCCAAGGGGAGAGGGACCCCAGACCCAGTGACTGTCGGGCCGGGGCGGGGGAGAACCGGCGTCCGGCCGAGGGCCGAGCATCCGTCCGGCGGCCGACACCAGCGGCCCCGACCCGGTCCAGCACCGGCGGTCGCGGCCCTCGCCACGCTCCGGGCCCGGGCTCCCCCCTGGAACCCCGCCGTCCGCGGGCGAGACGGGACTCCGGGGCGCGCGGCACGGACGGCCTTACCGAGTCTGCGGACGGCGGCGCGGCGGCGGCGGACTGAGCGGGCGGCGGCGGGCGCCGGGGCGGGAGGGCCGCGGGCGAGGCCGAGCGCACCGACGCCGGCGCCCGCCGATTGGCTGAGGCCGGCGGGGGCGGGGCGCCGTGGGCGGGGCGCCGGCGGGGGGCGGGGCGAGGAAACTGAGGCCGGCGGCGCGGGGCGCTACCCTCGGCCTGGGCGCGGCGGCGCCTGCGGGCCTTGGCCGTCTCATCCGTGAAATGGGCCAACGCACGGGCCGCCGTTTTATAGGCATTGCCCAATAGAGCGCACGCGACGCGGCAGCCCGTAGGCGGAGGCTACTCATCTCCCACCCCTGGGGTGACGAAGCGCCCGGCGCCGCACGGCCCGGACCCCCGACCAGTTCCTTGGGAGGCGGCGGGGCTCACGCGTGCAGATGCTTTCCTTAGCAAAATAATTAATCCCGCGTCAGGGACGTAACAGGCCAGAGAGAGAGTTGGCAGAGGGGGCGGGGGGCGGGGCAGCGCAGGGGACCCCCCCGGGGAGTCGACGCCGGGGGTCCTCGGCCGGCCGCCGAGGACTCGCGCTCGCCCCCGTCTTCCTCCACGTCCGCGCGGACGACCTCAGAAGAGAAAACGAAAGTGACCCCTGGATCCCGCCCCCGCGCGCGGGCGGCCCCAGCTTTCCGGGGCGGGATGGGGGCGCGTCCGCGCGCGGCCCGCTGAGCTCGTGGGCGCAGCTGTCCAGCGGGCAGCGGTGGCCGGCGCCGCGCAGCCTCCCGCCCCGGACGACGCCCCCGACCCCGGAGCCGGCCCGCAGTGGACGTCGAGGGCCGCAGTGCTGGCCACTGCAGGTGTAACTGAGAGCCAGCGGCGCCCGGGCGCCTCTCCCAGAAGCGAGGCCACCGGGCGCGTGGGAGCTCTGGGTGACACTTGCCCAGCTGTCCGGAAGTGCCGGCTGGCGTCCACCCTGGCCGGCCCAGGCGGACCCAACGCCCAGCAGAGGGATGCTTTTCCTCCCGGCCAGTGCCCGGGCGGGGGCGGGGCGGGAGGCTGCGTCGCTTTTCCTTTAGTAAATTCAGAAGTTGGGGTTTTAGTCCCCCCACCCGTCCCCCCGCGGGTTCTTGCCTGGCCGCCCAGCAGTCCCCGGCCCCCGGCCCCCGCGCCAGGGCTCGGCCGCAGGACGCGCCCCTGCGCTGCACCTGCCGCTCACGCTCACCTTAGATGCCCTTCCTCCGCCCGGAGCCCCAGGCCCCCGCAGTCCCCGCCCAAGGTCGCTTCCTCCCTCACGCCGTGCCCTGCGGCGCCCCACGCTGGGATTGGCTCCGCGCCCCGCCCGTCCCCGGGGCTCTGCGGCCTTGACCGCGCGCGTCGGCCCGGCGGCCGCCTCGGAGCCACCTGCGGACCGGGCGGGCGCGAGCAGGGGCGGAGCGCGGCCGGGGGAGCGCGCGGGCGCCAGGCTCACCTGTGCCCCGGTGCACCGGCGGGAGGGACCGCAGCCGCGCGTCCGCACCGCGCCTCCGCCCCCGCACTGCGGTGCCCTGGGTTTCCGGGCGGCTGTTAAAAAAAAAAAAAAAAAAAAGAGAGAGAGAGAGAGAGAACCGGGCCCATCCGGAGTTCCCTGGGCTGCCTCAGAGGCGGGAACGACCTTTCTCAGATCTGTTGCTGCGGTTTTTGGTTTCGTTTTGTTTTGCCGAAATTCATTCCCAGTTTTAATCGGAGATCCTGTAGCAGCTGCCACCCAGGCAACGTTTTTAAAAACAAGGAAACATTTTATTTAAAAAAAGATAAGAAGACTTTAAAAGCAGATAATGTTTTTATCACTATCAGAATTTTTATTCTAAAAATACCTCTTTATGAAAAAGACCAAACCTTTAAAAATTAACAAGAATAGTGTCTTAAAGGCCTATACAAACAAAACTCAGGTTCAACCAAGGGCCAAGGGGTATGACTTTGTCTTTCTCCCTCTTCTCCCACCCCTACTGATTATTTCAAAGGAAATCCAGAAACCCTACCATTTTGTCCACAGATTCTTGAGTGCGTATCTGTAAAAGAGATGGATTCTCTGAAAAATACAACCGCTGGGACCAGCACTGCGGCACAGCAGGTTAAGCCTCTGCCTTGGGCGCCAGTTTGAGTCCCGGCTGCTCCACTTGCCAGCCAGCTCTCTGCTATGGCCCCGGACAGCAGTGGAAGATGACCCAAGTGCTTGGGCCCCGCACCCACATGGGAGACCCGGAAGAAGCTCCTGGCTCCTGGCTTCCGATTAGCCAGACATTGTGGCCATTTGGGGAGTGAACCACTGGATAGAAGACTTCTATCTCTCCCTCTTTCTGTAACTCTGCCCCTCAAATAAATACATCTTAAAATACACACACACACACACACACACATGCACAATGATGTTGTCCCCCCCACCCTCCAGAGAGAGGTAAGGGGCAGAAAGCCCCCGGCCACCAGGAGCACCGTGCGGTCCTCCTCTGGCCGCCCACTTCGTTTCCAGTAAGTTCCGATCCAAAAGTGCGCAACAGTCCCCTAGGAAATGCTGTTGTGATCTCCACATCCCGGACGGCTTTCTGCTCGCCGAAGCCTGTGGCTCTCTGACCTTGACCCCTGAGCCCCTGGCAGGGACGGTGCCACGTCAGGACAGAGTGTTTGCTCAGCCAGCGTCACAGGGGGTTGACGAGGACAAACAAGGTGATGTGGTGAAAGCAGGCTGGACACGGCCACAGATGTGCCAGGACTTCCTAATCAAACAGGCTTGCCCTCTGGCCTGGTGATCCCCTGCCCGCTACCAGCACGGGGCCCTCTGGGCTGCCCTTACTCGTCCCCTGTGGGGAGCAGGCTCTGCTTGGTTTCCTTCACACCTCGAAGCACCCAGGGCTGAGCGGCAGGGCCAGGAGCGGACATGCGAGCTGGTGTCCTCCCTGGGCCTCACTCGTCCTCAGGAAGTACCCTCACCAAGCCCAGCCCCCCGTGGAGTGTGCATTCAGCCGGAGCAGGGAGCAGAGCCCAGCGGGGCAGTGACCTAGTGGCTGCTGTTGGAAGGCTGTGACTTTGCTTGATTGGCCTGTGTGCTGTGCCCCGGGCCAGCCAGCCTTGCCCCTGCCTGCCCGCCTGCAGCTGAGACCCGGGGACCTCAGGGCCAGGGCAGGTGTGTGAGCACCCTAAGGAGACCCTGGTCCAGACACGGCTCTTCTTTTTTTTTTTTATTTTTTTATTTTTTTTATTTTTTTGACAGGCAGAGTGGACAGTGAGAGAGAGAGAGACAGAGAGAAAGGTCTTCCTTTGCCGTTGGTTCACCCTCCAATGGCCGCCGCGGCCAGCGCGATGTGGCCGGCGCACCGCGCTGATCCGATGGCAGGAGCCAGGAGCCAGGTGCTTTTCCTGGTCTCCCATGGGGTGCAGGGCCCAAGCACCTGGGCCATCCTTCACTGCACTCCCGGGCCACAGCAGAGAGCTGGCCTGGAAGAGGGGCAACCAGGACAGAATCTGGCGCCCCGACCGGGACTAGAACCTGGTGTGCCGGCGCCGCTAGGCGGAGGATTAGTCTAGTGAGCCGCGGCGCCGGCCCAGACACGGCTCTTCTTTGGAGGCAGCGGTGGGGGCAGTTAGAGAGGGCCCCTCATACTGGCAGTCATGCTGGTCTTCAGACTTAGGAAAGGGACGTGTCGTGGTGCAGCAGCTTAAACCACTGCCCGCGATGCTGGCATCCCACATCCCGGCTGCTCCACTTCTGATCCTGCTCCCTGCTGATGGCCTGGGAAAGCAGTGGAAGATGGCCCAAGTGCTGGGCCCTGCACCCACGGGGGAGACCTGGGTAGAGTTGCAGGCTACAGCCCGGCCTTAGTAGTCATCTGGGGAGTGAACTAGCAGATGGAAGATCCATCTTTCTCTCTCTCTCTCTCCTCCCACCCCTGTAACTTGCCTTTGAAATAAATAAATTTGGGGGCCAGTGCTGTGACGTAGTAGGTTAATCCTCTGCCTGTGTGCCAGCATCCCATGTGGGTGCCAGTTCGAGTCCCAGCTGCTCCTCTTCCAATACAGCTCTCTGCTGTGGCCTGGGAAAGCAGCAAAAGATGGCCCAAATCCTTGTGGGCCCTGCACCCACATGGGAGACCTGGAGGAAGCTCCTGGCTCCTGGCTTTGGATCAGCGCAGCTCCAGCCTTTGTGGCATTTGGGGAGTGAACCAGAGGATGGAAGACCTCTCTGTCTCTCCTTCTCACTGTCTACAACTCTACTTCTCAAATAATAAGTAAAAATCTTTTTAAAAGAGAAATAAATAAAATGTTTAATTTTTTTAAAAGAAATAAACTTAAGCCGGCGCTGCGGCTCACTAGGCTAATCCTCCACCTTGCAGCACCGGCACACCGGGTTCTAGTCCCGGTCGGGGCGCCAGATTCTGTCCCGGTTGCCCCTCTTCCAGGCCAGCTCTCTGCTGTGGCCCGGGAGTGCAGTGGAGGATGGCCCAAGTGCTTGGGCCCTGCACCCCATGGGAGACCAGGATAAGTACCTGGCTCCTGCCATTGGATCAGCGCGGTGCACTGGCTGCAGCGCGCCAGCCGTGGCGGCCATTGGAGGGTGAACCAACGGCAAAGGAAGACCTTTCTCTCTCTCTCTCTCACTGTCCACTCTGTCAAAAAAAATAATAAAATAAAATAAAATAAAAAAGAAATAAACTTAGCAGAGTCACTAGGCCTTTGGAAACCTGGTGACAGCTCCCGAACCTCTCACTAGAAAAATGCACACGCATCTGTCGTGAAGTCAGCGGTTCCAGGACCAGTGTCTAGGCTCCGGCCCCACAGGGGTTAAGAGAAAGCTACAATGTGGCGGGGAGACCGCGGGTGTTCCAGCGTCACCCTGGGTCTGGGGAACAGGCCTCTCTAAGGAGTGGCTAGTTTTCCAGGAATCTGTGTCTTTGACTAAGAGCCTGCGAATTCGCACGGGACCTGGGAGGATGCAGGGGGTTCTGGCGGAGAGAAGGAGGTGTCCCTTGGAGTTC